ACGTAATTACTGCGCTGTTAATGTACGCTTTCTTTGTATCCTCAGCATCCTGCGTTATCTTACTGTATCCTCAGCATCCTGCGTTATCTTACTGTATCCTCAGCATCCTGCGTTATCTTACTGTATCCTCATCATCCTGCCTCGGTCAATCCTCGACCCATTCTCAAACTGTTGTTTTTTCACCACCAAACATTACCCATCATGTTACTGTTATGTTTACTTAAGTTAACCTTAATCATCATCATTAACCAGATGCAGAGAAATGTAGAGGGGGAGATAAAACACGGGAGAAACCACTGTCCTGGCTCTAGTTCGTTGAAACCAGACGTTGGAATCCAAACGCTAGAAACCAAACACTAGAAACCAGACGCTTGTTGTGTTAGATTACTACCTCAGCTGCTTTACATTAATGCTCCCTCAGTACTTCCCTCAGAGCCGTGTTCTCCTCTTCTCTGTGTTCTCCACATCTCCACTGCCTTCTCTTCTTTCACCTTCGTATCCACATCTCTCTCCCTCCCTTGTTCTTCCCCGTTTCGTCCCCTCTCCTGCCGTCCTCACCTCCTCAGTTCTCTTTTTCCTTCTTACATCTCATGTCTCTTTCCCTCCGTCAGGACGGAGTTAAAGAAAGAACGACTGAAGGAAACTAGGGAACTGCATGGATATAAAAGGAATTGCAGGGAACCGGAGGAGACGACTGCAGGGAACCGGAGGAGACGACTGCAGGGAACCGGAGGAGACGACTGCAGGGAACCGGAGGAGACGACTGCAGGGAACCGGAGGAGACGACTGCAGGGAACCGGAGGAGACGACTGCAGGGAACCGGAGGAGACGACTGCAGGGAACCGGAGGAGACGACTGCAGGGAACCGGAGGAGAGACTGCAGGGAACCGAGAGATGCGGAACGGAGGACGACTGCAGGGAACCGGAGGAGACGACTGCAGGGAACCGGAGGAGACGACTGCAGGGAACCGGAGGAGACGACTGCAGGGAACCGGAGGAGACGACTGCAGGGAACCGGAGGAGACGACTGCAGGGAACCGGAGGAGACTGCAGGGAACCGGAGGAGACTGCAGGGAACAGAAGGAGATTGCAGTGAGCTGCAGGGAAGAACAGCAGAGATACTTGTACCTGGTGCAGGCATGCTGGTGCAGGCATGCTGGTGCAGGCATGCTGGTGCAGGCATGCTGGTGCAGGCATGCTGGTGCAGGCATGCTGGTGCAACTAGCTGTAGCCCGGCACATGCAGACCAGTGAAACAAACCTGCTGGAAGGAGACTCCAGGAAATGCATAGAGGTAAACAACTTATTCCAGCCTGAGGTGCTTCCACTGCCAGAAGTCATTAGCAGCCAGGTGAGTCAGGGAGTGAGTGTACCACCCGGGACGCTGTGTACCAGCCGGGACGCTGTGTACCAGCCGGGACGCTGCGCCTATCACGGACTTGCTCATTATCGTACACTATGTGAAACAGTGACGTCATGTCTGTTCCGCGTAGTACATGTCAACAGTATAATAATAATAATAATAATAAATAATAATAATAATAATTAATAATAATAATAAGCTTTATTTCTATAACTACAAGAAACGACTTATACAGACCATAGCTGACATCAATGACATACTATATAGAAAGTCCTTGGTTATTCACAGCATTTTGGGCAACTTAGGTTAATTTTGTCCCCCAGGATGCCATTCAAATCAGTCAACTAACTCCCAGGTACCTACTTACTGCTAGGTGAACAAGGACAGCAGGTGTCTTAAGGAAGCACACCCAATGTTTCCACCCGTACCGGGGATCGACCCACGGATACTCAGTGTGTGAGATGAATGCGCTACCAACCGAGCTAGGGTATATGCCAGGACTGTCGTCAGGCGCGTCAGTCCAGTACTGCAAAGTCAGTCATCGAGTACGCAGCACCCCTGTGTAACCCCTCGATGAATCAGTCCCATAAGACTGAGTGGTACTCGAGCAGAGGGGCCAAGTCTACCAGGAAAGAAGTGTGCTAAGCAGCTGTACGAAGGCTGGAAGGCAGGACCGGGAGATAACATCACAACATGAAAGTCACAAGGAAGAACTGTTTTTTGAGAAGCACCGAGAGAGAGAGAGAGAGAGAGAGGACAGTAGTCAACCACACGGGTATTCCCTTTCCTCTCCTCTCCCCTCCAGGAGACCTGGCCTGGGACCCAACCGCAGGGACGGTGACCTCCGAAAGTGACTAGAGCTATCCAGGTGACCTCCGGAAGTAACTAGAGCTACTCAGGTGACCTCCGAAAGTAACTAGAGCTACTCAGGTGACCTCCGAAAGTAACTAGAGCTACTCAGGTGACCTCCGAAAGTAACTAGAGCTACTCAGGTGACCTCCGAAAGTAACTAGAGCTACTCAGGTGACCTCCGAAAGTAACTAGAGCTACTCAGGTGACCTCCGAAAGTAACTAGAGCTACTCAGGTGACCTCCGAAAGTAACTAGAGCTACTCAGGTGACCTCCGAAAGTAACTAGAGCTACTCAGGTGACCTCCGAAAGTAACTAGAGCTACTCAGGTGACCTCCGAAAGTAACTAGAGCTACTCAGGTGACCTCCGAAAGTAACTAGAGCTACTCAGGTGACCTCCGAAAGTAACTAGAGCTACTCAGGTGACCTCCGAAAGTAACTAGAGCTACTCAGGTGACCTCCGAAAGTAACTAGAGCTACTCAGGTGACCTCCGAAAGTAACTAGAGCTACTCAGGTGACCTCCGAAAGTAACTAGAGCTACTCAGGTGACCTCCGAAAGTAACTAGAGCTACTCAGGTGACCTCCGAAAGTAACTAGAGCTACTCAGGTGACCTCCGAAAGTAACTAGAGCTACTCAGGTGACCTCCGGGTACCAGGTACCCAGGTGACCTCCGGGTACCAGGTACCCAGGTGACCTCCGGGTACCAGGTACCCAGGTGACCTCCGGGTACCAGGTACCCAGGTGACCTCCGGGTACCAGGTACCCAGGTGACCTCCGGGTACCAGGTACCCAGGTGACCTCCGGGTACCAGGTACCCAGGTGACCTCCGGGTACCAGGTACCCAGGTGACCTCCGGGTACCAGGTACCCAGGTGACCTCCGGGTACCAGGTACCCAGGTGACCTCCGGGTACCAGGTACCCAGGTGACCTCCGGGTACCAGGTACCCAGGTGACCTCCGGGTACCAGGTACCCAGGTGACCTCGGTACCGGTACCAAAGGTACCCAGGTGACCTCCGGGTACCAGGTACCCAGGTGACCTCCGGGTACCAGGTACCCAGGTGACCTCCGGGTACCAGGTACCCAGGTGACCTCCGGGTACCAGGTACCCAGGTGACCTCCGGGTACCAGGTACCCAGGTGACCTCCGGGTACCAGGTACCCAGGTGACCTCCGGGTACCAGGTACCCAGGTGACCTCCGGGTACCAGGTACCCAGGTGACCTCCGGGTACCAGGTACCCAGGTGACCTCCGGGTACCAGGTACCCAGGTGACCTCCGGGTACCAGGTACCCAGGTATGGAAGTACCCAGTCCTCCGGGTACCAGGTACCCAGGTGACCTCCGGGTACCAGGTACCCAGGTGACCTCCGGGTACCAGGTACCCAGGTGACCTCCGGAAGTAACTACAGGTACCCAGGTGACCTCCGGAAGCAACTACAGGTTCCCAGGTGACCTCCGGAAGCAACTACAGGTTCCCAGGTGACCTCCGGAAGTAACTACAGGTACCCAGGTGACCTCCAGAAGTAACTATAGGTACCCGGGTGACCCCCGGAAGTAACTAAGTACCCGGGTGACCTCCGGAAGTAACTATAGGTACCCGGGTGACCTCCGGAAGTAACTACAGGTGCCCAGGTGACCTTCGGAAGTAACTACAGGTACCCAGGTGACCTCCGGAAGTAACTACAGGTACCCAGGTGACCGGAAGCCATCCTTCCTCCCTCACATCTCCCTACCCTCTTTTCCTCTCATCAGACTCCCATCCTTCTCTTCTCCTAGCCACAATCCATCTTCTGCCGTTCCCTCTTCTCTCTATCCTCGCGGAGAGAAAATCAGAGCCTATTGATCCTGGCTGTTGGAAGGGGTGAGGAGTGCCAGTGAGAGGGGTGAGTGCCAGTGAGAGGGGTGAGGAGTGCCAGTGAGATGGGTGAGGGTTGTCAGGATGACACCTAAGTCGCTCTGATAGGTCTCTGGATGACACCTGAGTGGCCCTGATAGCCCCCTGGATGACACCTGAGTGGCCCTGATGGCTCCCTGGATGACACCTGAGTGGCCCTGATGGCTCCCTGGATGACACCTGAGTGGCCCTGATGGCTCCCTGAATGACACCTGAGTGGCCCTGATGGCTCCCTGGATGACACCTGAGTGACCCTGATTGCTCCCTGGATGACACCTGAGGGGCCCTGATGGCTCCCTGGATGACACGAGGTAGGGTACATGCCTCCTGCCTCAGGCATGCAGCAGGCAGATCACAACAGTCGTATACACTACCACCTGGATCCTCTCTGGCACCCCCTTTCCCTGGTGCCTTCGAAGTGTCAGCACCTACCTCTCTCTCTCTCTCTCTCTCTCTCTCTCTCTCTCTCTCTCTCTCTCCTGTCTTCTAGATACAGTCTGTTGCCTCCTCTTCCTGTTAGAGATGTATTCACACACATACCTTCATACACCTTTGAAGTTGTCGTACCTGATGAATCTTTACTGGAATACTTGACGATATCCTCACCGCTCTACTGACGTCTCCCAGCTCGGGCTGACACACGTCACCACTGTGTATGTGACTCATCCTGTGTGACGGAACATGCTACTCTGAAACAGCAACACCAAGGAATCCCGACACAGGATCTCTCTCTCAACCTGTTTATTGACCTCTGACCAAACTAGTGGGCCCCGCCCAGCGATGACGATGCCTTCAACTGCTGCACCTCATCTGATTACCAGCATATAAGCGACCATCTTCCTGCCTGTGCATCAGATTCATTAAGATTTAACAGCTAGGCCGTGGGACTGATTACCTCTTTTTCTGTCGTCCGAACATGTCTGTATGGTACTGATGAAACCACGCGTCCAATTCATCAAGCACAGAGTAGCTTGATGAAGATCAAGATATCTGCACCAGCATCAAGACAGCCGGGAAGTGTGATTGGCAGCTGGTTGGCAGCTGGCTGGGACAACGGGGTATCTGTACTACAGGAAGCCGAGTGAGTGAGTACTGATAAGGCACTCACTGCCCCCCACTCCCCTGCGATGACTCAGTCTTGACCTGGGGTAGGGAGGTAGATTAGAGTTATCAGTTATCCAGACACTACAGTAGCAATCAAGCGACTCCGTGTGCATCAAGGGAGAGATCACAGTTAACATGAGTGATGTTTAGGTGTACTGAGCTCTCGGTGTTCCCTCCTGCAGTGTTAGGTTTGCTTAGCAAGTCTCTTCCTTCTCACTCTCCCCTACACCTTGTAGTAAGGGAATATCCATTATAATTTCTTGTAGTAGTAGTAGCGGCAGCAGTGATAGTAGTAATGGTGGTGGTGGTGGTAGTAGTAATTGTAGTAATGGTGGTGGTGGTGGTAGTAGTAATTGTAGTAATGGTGGTGGTGGTGGTAGTAATTGTAGTAATGGTGGTAGTAGTAGTAGTAATTGTAGTAATGGTGGTAGTAGTAGTAGTAATTATAGTAATGGTGGTAGTAGTAGTAGTAATGTGTAATGGTGGTAGTAGTAGTAGTAGTAATGTGTAGTAATTGGTTGGTTAGTATAGTAATTGTAGTAATGGTAGTAGTAGTAATTGTAGTAATGGTAGTAGTAGTAATTGTAGTAATGGTAGTAGTAGTAATTGTAGTAATGGTGGTATGTAGTAAGTATATTGTAGTAATGGTGTGTAGTAGTAGTAGTAATTTTAGTAATGGTGGTAGTAGTAGTAATTGTAGTAATGTGGTGAGTATGTAGTTAGTATATTGTAGTAATGGTGGTAGTAGTAGTAGTAATTGTAGTAATGGTGGTAGTAGTAGTAGTAGTAATTGTAGTAATGGTGGTAGTAGTAGTAGTAATTGTAGTAATGGTGGTAGTAGTAGTAGTAATTGTAGTAATGGTGGTAGTAGTAGTAGTAGTAATTGTAGTAATGGTGGTAGTAGTAGTAGTAATTGTAGTAATGGTGGTAGTAGTAGTAGTAGTAATTGTAGTAATGGTGGTAGTATGTAGTAGTAATTGTAGTAATGGTGGTAGTAGTAGTAGTAATTGTAGTAATGGTGGTAGTAGTAGTAGTAATTGTAGTAATGGTGGTAGTAGTAGTAGTAATTGTGTAATGGTGGTAGTAGTAGTAGTAATTGTAGTAATGGTGTAGTAGTAGTAGTAATTGTAGTAATGGTGGTAGTAGTAGTAGTAATTGTAGTAATGGTGGTAGTAGTAGTAGTAATTGTAGTAATGGTGGTAGTAGTAGTAGTAATTGTAGTAATGGTGGTAGTAGTAGTAGTAATTGTAGTAATGGTGGTAGTAGTAGTAGTAGTAATTGTAGTAATGGTGGTAGTAGTAGTAGTAATTGTAGTAATGGTGGTAGTATAGTAGTAATTGTAGTAATGGTGGTAGTATAGTAGTAATTGTAGTAATGTGGTAGTAGATAGTAGTAATTGTAGTAATGGTGGTAGTAGTAGATGTAGTAATGTAGTAAGGTGGTATATGTAGTAGTAATTGTAGTAATGGTGGTAGAGTAGTTAGTACGTAATTGTAGTAATGGTGGTAGTAAGTAGTAGTAGTAGTAATTGTAGTAATGGTGGTAGTAGTAGTAGTAGTAATTGTAGTAATGGTGGTAGTAGTAGTAGTAGTAATTGTAGTAATGGTGGTAGTAGTAATGTAGTATGGTGGTAGTTAATTGTAGTAATGGTGGTAGTAGTAGTAGTAATTGTAGTAATGGTGGTAGTAGTATGTAGTAGTAATTGTAGTAATGGTGTAGTAGTAGTAATTGTAGTAATGGTGTAGTAGTAGTAGTGATGTAGTAAGTAGTAGTAGTAGTAATTGTAGTAATGGTGGTGTAGTAGTAGTAGTAATTGTAGTAATGTGGTAGTAGTAGTAGTAATTGTAGTAATGTGGTAGTAGGTAGTAGTAATTGTAGTTAATGGTGGTAGTAGTAGTAGTAGTAATTGTAGTAATGGTAGGTAGTAGTAATGTAGTAATGTGTAGTAGTAGTATAATTGTAGTAATGGTGGTAGTATAGTAGTAGTAATTGTAGTAAGTGGTGTAGTAGTAGTAGTAATTGTAGTAATGGTGGTAGTAGTAGTAGTAATTGTAGTAATGGTGGTAGTAGTAGTAGTAGTAATTGTAGTAATGGTGGTAGTAGTGTAGTAGTATTGTAGTAATGGTGTGTGTAGTTAGTAGTAATTGTAGTAATGGTGGTAGGTAGTAGTAGTAATTGTAGTAATGGTGGTAGTAGTAGTAATTGTAGTAATTGGTGTAGTAGATAGTAGTATTGTAGTAATGTGTAGTAAGTAGTAGTAATTGTAGTAATGGTGGTAGTAGTATAATTGTAGTAATGAGTAGTAGTTAGTATGAGTAATGTGTATAATGGTAGTAGATAGTAATTGTAGTAATGTGGTAGTAGTAGTAATTGTATAAGAGTGGTGGTAGTAAGATAGTAAATGTAGTATGGTTTTTACCCCGGGGTATAGCATCAGTAGTAACTAGTAATGCGTAGTGCGTAGTAGACTGTCAATTTTGTCATGGGTAGAGTCAGTTAACTTGTACCACCAGGTGGTATAGTAGTAAAGTATATTGTAGTGAAAGGGTAGTGTAAGTAAATGTAGTAATGTTTAGATTAGTAATAGATTGTAGTAATAGTGGTGAGTTATGTAGATAGGTAGATAGTGTAGTAGTAATGGTAGTAGTAGTAATAGTATGTATAGATATAGAGTAATGGATGTATAGTTCGAATATTGTGAACTGGAGGGTTAGCATCCAGTATAATAGTAAGATGAGTGGTAGTAGTCGTAGGAATTGTATAACTATTTATTGGGGTAGTTGTAATGTTAGTAATGATGGAGTAGTACTAGTTGTAGTAATGATCAGTACTAGTATATGTGTAAGTGAACATTAGGGAAGAGTAGTAAGTTGTATAAGTTCGAATAGTAGTCCAGTACGTAGAATTTAGACCAGACTCCGTAGTAGTAAGCGATTGTAGCTACCAGATGGTAGTAGTAGTAGTAATTGTAGTAATGATGGTAGTCAGTAGTAAATTGAGTAATGATGGTAGTAGTAGTAGTAATAGATAGTAGTAGTAATAGAATGTGTAGTAGTAGTAGTAATTGTAGTAATGGGTGGTAGTAGTAGTAATTGTAGTAATGGTGGGTAGTAGTAGAGTAATTGTAGTAATGGTGGGTAGTAGTAGTAATTGTAGTAAGTGAGTAGTAGTATTAATTGTAGTAATTGGTAGTAGTAGTAATTGTGAATGGTAGTTGTAGTAATTGTAGTATGGGTAGTAGTAGTAATTGTAGTAAGATGGTAGTAGTAGTAGTAATGTAGTAATGGTAGTAGTAGTAGTATTGTAGTAATTGGTAGTAGTAGTAGTAATTGTAGTAATGAGTAGTAGTAGTAATTGTAGTAAATAGTAGAGGATTAGTAGTATTGTAGTAACGATGGTTAGATCCAGGATACAAGAATAGTATAATGCGTAGGTGGAGTAGTTAATATTGTCAGTAATGGTGGTGGACATCAGTGAGTAAGGTAATTGTAGCTAATGGTGAGTGGATAGTAGTGTAATTGGTAGTAATGGTGTAGTAGTAGTAATTGTAGTAATGGTGGTATATAAGGCATGTGTGAGTAAGTGAGTGGTAGTAGTAGTAATTGTAGTAATGGTGGTAGTAGTAGTGTAATTGTAGTAAGTGGTAGTAGTAGTAGTAATTGTAGTAATGGTGAGTAGTAGAGTAGTAATTGTAGTAATGGTGGTAGAGTAGTAGTAATTGTAGTAATGTGTAGTAGTTAGTTAATGTTTGTAGTAATTGTAGTAAGGGTAGTATAGTAGTGTTGTAATGATTAGTCGTAGGTTAGTAATGTAGTAATCAAGTGATTAGTAGTATAGTATTGTAGTAATGAGGTAGTAGTAATGTAGTTAATGATGGTAGTAGTCTAGTAATTGTAGTAATGATGGTAGTAGTAGTTTGAGTAATTAGTAGTAGTAATGTACTAGGTAGTATATTGTAGTAATGAGTGGTAGTAAGTAGTAGTAGTAATGTAGTAATGTGGTAGTATGTATCTGAGTAAATGTAGTATTAGCGTATGTGTAGATGTAATGAGATCGTGTAGTAGTAGTAGTATTGTAGTAATGGATGGTAGTAGTAGTAGTAATTGTAGTAATGATGGTAGTAGAGTATAATTGCTAGTAATGGTGGTAGTAGTAGTAATTGTAGTAAGTGTTAGTATTTGTAGTAATGGTGGTAGTAGTAATATTTGTAGTAATGGTGGTAGTAAGTAGTATAGTAATTGTAGTAATGGTGGTAGTAGTAGTAGTATATTGTAGTAATGGTGGTAGTAGTAGTAAATTGTAGTAATGGTAGTAGTAGTAGTATAGTAGAGTATGTAGTAATGGTATGTAGTAATGAGTGTAGTAAGTAATGTAGTAATTGGTATAGAGTAGTATGTAGTAAGTTGTTAGTAATTGGTATGGTAGTAGTAGTGTAATTGTAGTAATGGTGGTAGTAGTAATTGTAGTAATGGTGGTAGTAGTAGTAATTGTAGTAATGTGGTAGTAGTAGTAATTGTAGTAATGTGGTATAGTAGTTAGTAGTAATTGTAGTAATGATGTAGTTAGTAGTAGTAGAATTGTAGTAGTAGTAATTGTAGTAATGGTAGTAGTAGTAATTGTAGTAATGTGTAGTAGTAATTGTAGTATGGTAGATAGTAATTGTAGTAATGGTAGTAGTAGTAATTGGTAAATGTGTAGTAGTAATTGTAGTAATGGTAGTAGTAGTAGTAGTTGTAGTAATGAGGTAGTAGTAGTAATTGTAGTAATGGATAGTAGTAGTATTGTAGTAATGGATGGTTTAGTAGTAGTAATGTGGTAGTAGTAGTAGTAATTGTAGTAATGATGGTAGTAGTAGTAGTAATGTGTTAGTAATGTAATGTAGTAATGGTGTAGTAAGTTAATTGTATAATGGATGTGGTAAGTAGTATGGTAGTAGTTAATTGTAGTAATGTAGTATAAGTAGTAATGTATAGTAAATTGTAGTAATGAGTGTATGTTATGTAGTAGTAATTGTAGTAATGTAATGTAGTAGTAATAGT